ATTTACAGAGACCCAACAGTACGTCAGTCAGTACATTATGTTACAAAACAAAGTGTTCAGCCTGCTTTCCTTAATGCTGGCTTTGTTCTTCTCAACAGGGTCTGACAAAGGAGATGAGCCTGTTGAGTCTGGCCATTGTACGTAAGGAGAAGCTTTAATTGTTGCTGAGTTGGGCTGCTTGTGTTGGGCTCCAGATGGTCTGGTTGGGGGTGTTAAGGATGGATCTGTGAGCCAGGACTGGCTTAGTTTAGCTACTGCGGACAGGTGTATTGGAGGCTTCTCCACTCAAAAGCACATTTTGCAATTTTGTCATCAATTTTTCCTTAAAACTTGCAATATTTCAAAATCTCACAGAAACAATTCTCAGGAAGAGTTGAGAAGGGAAATCGTAAGCCTTGTTCCGGTCTTCATAGCTTTGTCTCTCCCCGCAACACGGTTTCATGTGTTGTAGCTGGAAACGAGTCTGATCACGAAGGACAAAGAGGCACACATTTCCCAACGCGGATGCACGCAGTCGACGCCACACTTTTTCCTTGGAGCTTAGTTCTTTTTAGCTGATTTGCAGGAGTTGGTGTATGTGTTCCTCTTGGTTTGAGTTTGATGTTATTTCTTGTAGAAAAAATGCTGGCCTCATGTTCATTCGTACAAGACGCGGTGCGTCGATACCGAGCGCGTCTTCTATGCGAGAACTCGAAAGCCTTCCACTTATCTATTAATCGGTGATTTGCTTTGGTAATAGTTATTAATTAAAGTTGTAATTAATATTCTTAATATCCTTAATTAAAGTAGAATTTCTATCATTTTATCTCGTCTCGGGAGTACATGAAGTGAGTGATTGAGTAATTTAATAAACCAAAAATTGAATTTCAGTTAAACCACAACGAATGGTGGCGCTGTGATTGACCATAAGCACTACAATATGGTACTTTTGTTTGTTCCCTCAGGCATGCATGGAGGGACTTGGACATGAGGGAAGAAGCTGGCCTCAACAGCTTACATATTGGTCTTTATGTAGACAGGTGTGTCAAGGTGACAGGTGATAGGAGATCTGACCGTTCTGTAGCTTCTAGAGTAGTACTCCAGTAGGATTGGCCTCAGGTGGATTCTCCTTGTTGTGTCACCATAGGATGCAGGCCTGATGAAGACAACCACAATATAGAATGAATTTTGAGATTAATTTTCATCGTGAGGTGTTGTCATGCAGTGAGAAATGTTGGGTGTGTGAATGTGAATTGACATGTAGGTGAAATTTGGTGGTCAGAACACTAGAAACTGCACATGGGTTAGTTTTTAGCGTCTGTTGTGCAACTGTGAGCATGGAACAGAGACTCAGTTTAAGAAACACATAACTGGACTTACATTTATAACAAAAAGGGTCCCATTCGTGGACACAATGAATAATGAAGAAGAGGAAACGGGTGTACATTGGTGCTGTTTGACCCCTGGCAGCTCAGAAGAGGTGCTTTTGAACTCGCGTGCTATTGTCTGGTGTAACTTTATTGGGTTACGTAAACTTTATCGGTCATCGGTTACCTGATGCAGGCACTGTGCGGGCCGCCTTTCGTACTCCGCTCGCTTAAGCAGGCTAGGCATGGCCAGGAGGTGTTGAAAGAGCCATCAGTGGCCCGAGGCTGATGTCACCATGCGTGGTAACACCATTGGGAGGTCTGCGGTTCCCTGCTGCAACATGCACACTGATCGGCCGACACAGGGAACTTATGAAGATGTGTGGAGTACGCTGTTAGTAGATTTTATTACAGTCTTTGGTCTCCGTATGCCTGTGTGTGAGTTGATACTGTATGGAATGCAATGTAGTTGTAGCACCAGAACTGTTTCTTTGTTTTGTAGTCTATTTTGACTCGGATGCATTATGTGATTTTATTATTAAAGCTGCAGGCTAGGTAATTTTTATAATTAGAAACCCAAGCTTTGTTCAGTATTGTGCTAAATTGTCACTGGTGTCTACAGTATTAGCATGAGATTGTAGTAAGGTTTGTGAAAAAGGAACAATCTGGGTTTCCTCTGTGCCCTCCAAGAGTGTTCCTAATTGCATTTGTAAGGAAGTCCACTGGTTGCCGGAACTAAGAAGGCAAGCCAGGATTCAGAGAGCCAAGAAAGATAGGAAAAAACACTCTGGGTTGGAAGCTTGGACATAGGCTGGGACAACCGTTCATGAGTGGGAGGAGGTTGACAATCACAGATGCGGTCTTCATTCTTCCAAGATTACATAAGAAGCACGTTAAGAGGGATCCAGAGGAACGAAGATTATCTGTCTCATGTTCTTTACTGTCGAGGATAGTAGTAACAGTTCTATAAAGATATGATCACAACATATTTATTTATTTTCAGTTTATATTAGGCGCTACTGCAGGCTTTAAATACACTATAGGTGACATTCTGAATAGTTTTCATAGGTAAAAGATCACACAAAGGGTTTAAACGCATGGGTGGGAGCTCACA